AGAGTGGAACTCACTCTTTCCTTTAAAAGCTGGTTGAGTGGATTAGGACTTGGGGAAGGGGAACTCTGAGGATTCCGCCACCCTGCTCAGGCATGGCAGCAATTTCTGTAGCTGTGGGGTTGTATCTTTTGCAGGAATAGTAGTGACACACGAGGACGGAGTGGATGGGCGGTTGAATCCTAGTCGAATGGCTGCAGTTTGGAATCACCAGCTCTTCAGCCCATCAAATTGGCTATATTTAGGACCCAGGGGTGGAAAAAGGAAGGGCTCTCAAACCAGGAGGTTTGTGCTTCAAGTAGCTACTCTTGAGAAAGCTTTGCTGAAGTATTGTTATTAGCTATAGACCAGCCAGCTTCATCATTGGTCTGGGCAGCTCAAAAGGCTTGGAATTTGGTGTTAAATGTGTGTGTGTGTGCTCCTGAGCATGTGGCCTTTCCAGCTGCAGGCCACTCCTAATTGTTTATTGTTTCATCAAGTTTTGTTTCCCCAGTTATTTGGGTGCACTAACCCCAATGTGTGTAGCTCCTTCAGGGTGATGGAGGTGAGAGTTCCCCCCACCCTGACACAGCTTTTTAAATGGCTTAGATGTATAGGGAGGTGTAGAGAAGGACAAGCTGCAAGTGAATTTGGTGACAGAACCAGTGAGTACAGAAAGAGGAGAAAAGAAGAGCTTCTAGAACTGCTGGCCATGTTTGTGTTCTGCAAATGGAGAGGACATTGGCAGAAGAACTGTTCCCAGAGGAAAACCTCAGCAGAGGTGACTGCTTTGAAATAACGAAGGAAAGATGAGAGAAAAGGTGGGTGAAGTTTTTCCCTAAAGCACTAAGGACTTGTCTGAAAGGGCTAGAGACTCTAATGTTGTTTTACTGCAGTATGTGAACAATCTTTAAATAGCCAGCAAGATCTCAGCCCAGCATACTCAGGCAGCTGTTAGTTTGTGAGATTTCATCAGGTCTCCAAGCAGAAGACACCAACTTCACAAGAACAGGTGCAGAATTTGGGTTCCTGGCTTTCAAAAGGAAAGTGTGGGGATGCCAGTCTTCTGAAAGGAGGTGGTTTTTCAAATTCCCATCCCCCAAAGCTCAATGGACAGGTTTGGAAACCTGGTGCCCAGCACTTTCTTGGGGTGCTCATGCCCTGCTTTCCAGCACCATGTGGTTCCCAGCATGGAGGTGTGAAGATGTGGGAGGGGGGGCTGAAGTTGGTCCTCTCCTGTGCTAGTCCTGGCAGTTGCCTCTCTCCACCCTTCCACCAAAATGGCTGGCTGTTGCTGTTCTTTCTTCAAGGCCAGGGGCAGACATGCTGGCCCATCTGCCTACCTCACTGGCTGATAAAGTGGCAGTGTGCATGCATGAAGTTGTGACCACTGGCTGGTTGCTGCAGCTGGCAGGAGGGCCCACAGCTCGTAGCAGCATGGGGTGGGAGCTATTAGTTCACATCAGCCTGACTTTCCCAAGACTATCCCACTAGACAAACTGACCCATGATTTCCTGGAGACTATCACTACAGTTGAAAAGGACCGTACCTGGTGCTCCTCATCACACACACAGCAGTGAAACTCAAGGGTGTGCTGACATGAGCTTTGGGGTGCTGTGATTGGCAACACTACCATGTGCATGTCCAGCCTATCCTTGAACATCCTCACCAATGGGGCTTCAACCACCACCTGTGGAAGCCCATTCCATACCCATTCCAACTTCTTACATTTGTCCTTCTCTGTGTATGCTGCTGTTGCCAATGTGTTGCCAGTTTGATTCAGTCCTGCTCATTCCAATTTTGCATTTGTATTTTCTGTGTTTCTCAGTGTAGCAGACACCCTTAAGGACATTCAGCCAGAGCTGTCTCAATTGCACTAGCTGGCCATACAGACCAGCTTTGGACTACCTGCTGGCTCGCCAAAACAAGGGGGAGAGGGGTTGTGATCTGACTGAAACAGCAGGATCAACAAAGTGCAGGCTGCTCTGCATGACACATGCTGGCTAGAGGCACTCAAACCCCCATACACACCAGCACAGATTGGCTAAGAAACCACAGTCAACACAACCCTGCCCCAAGATTTCCCCAATATTTTGCACAACAGAGCAAAAAGAGGCCCAGTCTTCGGGACCCCACCCAGGGCAGATTTGGCACAGCATGGTCCTCAGATGGCTTCTATTGAGCTGTCTCTCCTCTCCCCAGCCTCCTCAGTGGCACCAGCACATCTCCCATGAATGTGATACCAACTGAGAAAGAGGTGGTGAAAGTGCAGGAAAAAACAGTTGGCCCCCATGGCAACCTGGGTCATGACTAAGGGACACAAACAAAGGATGACACAAATGGCTGTGTTGAGCCTAAAAATAGGCCTCATGGCAGCCTGCACCTAGCCCTAGACCTTCTACTTTTCCAGGAGTCGTGCCAGGCCTATGTTGACACTGTCAGCCCTATATCAGCACAGCACACCTCCCAGATCTTCCCTTTCCTCTCTAGGTCCCTTGCTGCTCTTCCTTGCTCCCCCTACCTTCTTCAGCACCTCCTTGCTCTGTCCTTGCTATGACTGCTGCTGCTAAAATCCAAAAGCCTGTTGGGATCCAAAAATGTTTGTAGTATTCTACTCAAGGATGGAGACTAATAGGGACACCTCCTGTACTCATGGAGACTCTACATGATCCAGAATTCTGATTCTGTTTGCAATACTCTGTTTAGGAATGCATTAATAAGGCTAGATTCCTGCTGCCCATCTTACATTTTATGGCCTTGTAAATTTGTGAAGTCTGGGATAACATAGGCACAAAGTGTAACCTCTGTTCTCAGAGTCGTTTGTCTTAAAGTAACACTTTGTTTAATTTACCTCTTCCACCCTTTTACTAACCTTATAACCTGACATATAACTTAAGACATTTTATAAACATCACACCTCTTTCTTAGCATTACCTCCCACAACCCTTTGTCTTTTAGCAAAGTAAAGATTGAGGAAGAATATTTTGATTCTTTGCTACTGCTATCCCCAGGGTTCCCATGTGTCACAGGAGGAAACCCTTTGATATATTTAACAAATTATATTCAGGTTTTTTTCAGTTTTAATCTCAGTAAAAGTTACCTTGACTGACATAACTGAAATGACATTCATTTTCTTTTGTATTGAAACAGTCCAATACTTCACCTCAGTGTGAAATCAACATCTCCAAGTCTTCCTTTGGATCTGAGTATCTCCTTATGCCTAGAGGTCTGTACGGTCTTGATTCAGTTTAGATTAATTTATAAAGCCATACATTATTATATGAATCCCAAGCAGAAAAAAAATGTCACCATGTATACTTGTAGTTGAAGGATTCAAACACTGACAGTTGAGGTCTATTTCCTCATATACATACAGACAGGGATATGGGCCAACAGGGAAGGAAATTATACAAAATGGAATTTAAGCCAAGCCTAAACATCTTGTGCAAATGTCAAGCCTTACTTGCATTCCATTCTGCAAGAGCTCCAGTAAATGTGAGTAAAACTGTTATTTGATAATCCAGTCTGAAGAGTTTTCAGATTTGTTTTGAAGAAAAGCTATATCTGAAAATGTAAAGTGTGGGCTCCACATTTTTGAACTTTTACAGAGGAATATTATTCTGTATTTGGTTTGTACCCTGTCTCTCTACCAAAAATGGCACTCAAGGAGTAAAATGCAATTGATAAGATTAGGGACATAAAAAAGGGACATGAGAACATGCACCTCCACCACCACCACCAAAAGAATGGTGGCAAAAAGTTGGGAAAATTATATTTGATTTAACAGGCATATAAATTTGTGGGGAAGTGCCACAACTAACCAGTTCCAACCAGTGAGGACTTTGTATAAGAATACATGGTTAGAAAATGAAGCACAGACAAATGTCTGAAAATAAGAATATTTGAGGAAATGAATGCAGTGATATAAAATAGACAAAAACTTAGATAGAATATTATTTCTTTGCGGTGCCATTTGCAAGGTAGAGCCCTTAACCCAGATTGGAATTACATCAGGGAGAAGAGCTGAAGCCTCCCAAACCAACCAATCCTTCCTGATTCCCGTACCTGTAAACACTAGTTACATAATTGCACAAATGCTGTCACATCTTTTGGGCCTAGATTTCTTCAAAACAATGGCCCCCCCCCCCCCAGCATCAGGTGAAGCAACAAGGTTGTAATTAAAACAAAAATAATGTCTCATTCCTGAATTATAAAAGTTGCACTTCACATAAAATGCTCTTTATGAAACAATGGAAGCCTCTAAAAGAATATAAACTAAAGATTTTCAGTTACTGAGCTAGCAGGAGCAAGGAAAGTCCTTGCACTTTTCCTAACAACTGCCCAGGTTTTCTCTTTATGTGCTCAGCACACATCGAGAAAAATATATACAAAGAATTAAAGTAGAATCAACTAGAAGCATAATTAATTAAACATAGGAAAGCAGCTAACGAAACTAATCAAAGTGCACAGCATGTTAATGAAAGTTAGCAGCTGGGATCAAATTATTGCATTAGGCATAGCCAGAGAGCAACTGCAAATACATTCTATCAAGAGCTAATGGCTTATGGCATTGTTCTATATACAGTTCCTGAGGAATCACTGAGGCAAAGCTTCAACAGTCCTTTCTGAAATGATAGTAGTGAACACATTATTTGGTTACAGTAGCAACCAGTGAGTCTTCCCTCAATTATTTTTATATGGCATTGAATAATTTAATGTTAAAGTTAGTACAGAGGTAATTGTATATATGCTTCAGCTGTTTGCTGCTTGAAAGTCAATGTTTGCTAACAATTAGCACAAGATAGTACAGCTGTGTTTTTTCCTTTCATGTAGAAATACTGAAATATTCCAAATTATACATCATATCTGTTCATCAAATCCTTCCTTTTCTGGATAATGTTTCAAAATCAGTAGTAACAGAGAGAGAGAAACAAATTTTATGTGAATGACATTTTTATCTGCAGCATTCAAATGATAAATCTCAACTGGATTTCTGTTCCTTTCCCATGTTATATATTACCATCTTAATCATCATACTCTACTACAGGCACTGCCGTGCCAGAACTGCCAATCACAGGCAATGTGCACAGTATTTTCACTCCAGGTTTCTTCACAGCTTCAACCTTTGCCTTGGATTGCTTAAATTGCTCCTTAGACATTTCATGAGCCACACATTTCCTAATTTTTTTCTCATTTTTGTTTTGTTTTTGCAACATTTGGACCCTGGGGGAAGAAAAAAAACATAGTTTTTCATCATTTCTAAACACTTTGGTCTTTCTTTCAGTTTGATACTAGAGTCTTGAATAAGTTCCCCATGGAATTATAATGTATCATGCTTGGTTATATTCATAAGTTCAATGTGCTTTTTTAACTTTTCAATTTTGAAAAACACACCATGTTAGACAATATTATCAAGCCCTCTTCAAGAGGAAAAAGAAAGGGATGAACTGATGCAATTTCCTGTCGCTAAAATGATTCAGTAGTATGGAAAAAGTCTTTGCTAAAAAGTCTTCTGTGCATTGTCACTTTTTTTCTTTTTGGTGATACTTCCTTCGCCATATTTCTTGTACCACATGCCTGACCTGCTCTGCAAAAGTATGATCTGAAGGAATGTGATACAGCCACCTTGCTGAAGCTGAGGAGGGCCAGAATTGATAAATGCCTAGTTGAGAACCCCATGCCTGCTATCTTAAATTCCACAATGCAAGAAAGACAGGCTAGTTATCTATAATTGAGGTTCTTTGTGTTGTCATCTGTGTACATATATTTGTTTGGCATCTATGCAAAGAATTGCTTGGAACATACTAGAGCTAAGCAGAATTATGGCAAAGTCTACTCCCTTTCCACTGTGCATAGTCAGGGCATGGTTTCTGCTGTTTCCACTCAGTTCCCAGTCCACCAGAGAAGTAGGATGAAAAACAACTGAGACATCAAAGTGGTGATGTGGGCAAGTTTATAGATACACATATAAGCACTTGAAGAACAACAATTATACATAAATAACCTGTTCTCCTAACCTGTCCTTACTGGAGGTGGACAAATGTCATACCAGAAGAAAGCGAACTGCTCAGCCAAAAGCTATTTTAGCCCTTGACTTCATGTCAAGTCTGTAGTGTTGGATAAATACGGAAGACTGGGCCCTGGTTACCACTCAAGCAAGGACATTCCCCCAAAGGAAGACACAACCCATGTGTGAAGTCACAAGCCATGTTGATAGACTACAAACATGCATGAAGAACAGGAGGTGGGGAAGCTGGCAACAGAGAACTACAGAAGCCAAAGCCAACATTATGACTCGGTAAAGAAACTGGCTTTGCAAGATGTGTTTCCTAGAACTGTAGAAAGCTGCAGTCCTACTCATAAAATTTCAAAGTGTGACAAACATTTAGGGAGTTTATCTTAACTTCCAGTGGTAAAGGGGAAGCAGAACAATGTCCTGATAAATGTGAAGCTAGGAAACAAATTTAGGGAAAAAGCAATATCCACTCTGAGGACCAGCTTATCTATATGAAAGATAATATTCAGCTGGCTGTGCCTCAAGTGCACAAAGTTCACTTGCCCATTTGTCGGAAAGACAGAGGAAGCAGTCAGATGGTGGATATTGCAGGTAGCAAAGTGTTCAAAGGGCTTATAGATGAGCTCTGAGGAGACTGTGGAAAACTTGTCTGCTGCTGTCAGAAAAGACTCAGTTGAGCATAAGTTGCAGAAACCTTTGATGGACTTCTTGATATCCAGGTGGTATGGAAGACTAGCAATCCATTCACCAGTGTATTGCAGGCTGATATAACAGACAGGTAAACTTGGAGGGATGAGAAAGCCAGCCTCTGATACTTTAGGGCAGGAATGAACAATGAGGTGCCCACAGAAACGTTTTTAGATGTCCACCAAGGTGCCCTGCTCCTCCCACATTTTAATACATTTCTAGCAGGTTCTGAATGTTATTCTGTATTGGAATAGAATCCACATAGGTGAAAATAGAAGAAAAGTGGGATATTTGTGAAGTTAGTAATAAATAGTAATTTATTTACTGGGGAGGGAAACTAAATGGGTCCTGGATACCTGAAGAAGCACCTTCTTCTCAATTTGCCTTCCCGCCCTTTGTGATCTGAGGCAGAGGTCCTTCTCCAAGATCCCTCTTTGAAGGAAATTAGGAGGGTAGCTACCTGGAGAAGGGTCTTTTCAGTGGTGGCGCCCTGACTTTGGAACACGTGCTTCCCAGGGAGGTTCGCCTAGTGCCATCACTTTATTTTTTTCAGCATCAGGCAAAAACTTTTTTATTTGCCCAACATTTTAACATTTAATTGGTTTTATCTTTGTTTTTATCATTAATGGTCAGATGCACTGTGTTGTTTGTTGGTATGTTTTTTGCAAGCTGTTCAGAGACGCTGGTATTGGATGGCATATAAAAACAATAAATAAATAAATAAATAAATAAATAAATAAATAAATAAAACCCAAAGACAGCTGTATCAGTGCTCTCCTATGTTAAGTTACTTTTTCATACTGATTTTTTTTTTTACAAAATCAAAATGTGTGTGTGTCCAAAATTATAACAGATCACTTTCCATTTTACACAGTTCACTGCCCATGGAAGGGAGTGGACCAAAGCTTACTTTTCAATCCCCTCTTCCCCTGATCCATAGATGGTAATAACCTGAATGATAAAATATAGCATTAAAGACTTAATGTCTCAATCTTACATTCCTACAGTATTAACTGTAATTGACTATGCAAAGATACAACAATAAGCCTGGGCTAATTAAATTTATCTTTACAGTTTATGCTCTGTGCCATTGCTCTGTTGACTTCTTTCCAGAAGAATAAGACCAAATATTAATTTACTTCATTTTCTACAAAACACAAGTAGCAAATAAATAGTCCTACCATACATTTCCCCTGGCACTAGGGGACAAGCCCATACAGAGAAAGTGGAGAAACAAGAAATCCAGCCCATATACTTTTCAGCAAAAGGTAATTTACTGACATGGGGCAAATGGAAACCTGCTGAAAATGGCAGAATTGCCCAGGTGTCACTGTCATAAATTAAAGACAATAAGATTGTTCAAGTGTAAATTGGCCTGATTTGGCATGCAAAACCTTTATTGTTGGCATGGATACAGAAGCTGAAAGATGCTAATTCAAAGTCTGTAGACTGAGTTTGCAGTTGGAGGAAAAACCCTATTCTATTGTCACAACCAAACAAGAAACTAGCAGAAAATACAAATACAGTGGTACCTTGGCTCACGAACTTAATCCGTTCCACGACTCTGGTTGTGACCCAAATTGGTTGTGACCCAAGTCAAATTTCCCCATAAGGTTCAATGTAAATAAGGTTAATCTGTTCTGTAACTATTTTTTTAATCAGAAAAATTTGAAACAAAGTGACAAAGAACAACAAAGTACTGTACAGTACAGTGGAGAACACTAACCTAGGTGGGGGGGAGATTATTGTTTTGAGGGAGAGTCCCCCTCCATAAGGACATTGGGGAGATCTCTTTCAGGGGTTTCCTCTCTTCTTTGTGTCTTAGCTGCAGGGTCAATTTTGGTGAAAAATCTGTCTATAGTCACTTGTTTTTTCCTGCGCTGCATAACCCTCCGGAAATGAGAGACCACGTTATCATTCATCAGATTCAACAGTGTTCATTACAGTTATGTTGGGGTGGTGCTTCTTAAAGAAATCCTGGCACTCATTCCATTTTTTCATAATGGATTGTCACTGCTAACCTCCTCCCTGTCTTCCTTTTCCTCGGTGGAATGCTCCTCAGCAAGTGCCTTCTGTAGCTCACTCGAGTTCAGCAAGTTCTTCTATTGTCAAGCTCCTCCTTATGGTCCTCAACAAGCTCCTCTATGTCAGCACCATTGACGTCTAGACCCATACTCTTGCCCAGAGACACAATCTCCTCCACTACCTCTGCATCAGACCCTTCAGAGTCACATTCAGTGACACATTCTGGCCACTGTTTCCTCCAGGCTGAGTTTAAGGTCCAGTATGTGACAACTTCTCAGGCTTTGTCAATGAGGTTGATGCAGTGGAGGACATTGAAATGTTTCTTCCAGAACTCTTTCAGAGTCAAGGGCATCTCTTCAGTGACATTAAAACACCTGCAGAAGAGCGCCTTTGTGTAGAGCTTCTTGAACTTGCAGATCACTTGCTGGTCCATGGGCTGCAGAAGAGCTGTAGTGTTGAGCGGGAGGAACTTGACCTTTATAAAGTCATACTCAGCATCCATATCATCCACCAAGGCTGGAGGGTGTGCCAGGGCATTGTCCATCAGAAGAAGGCAACTTTCAGGCAGTTGGTTGTCTTAAAGGTGGGTGCAAACACTTCGAGCAGCCATTCCATGAACAATTGCCTTGTGACCCAAGCCCTCGGATTGGCCCTCCACATGACAGGCAGTCTGGCCTTGTTCACATTCTGTTCCTTGAATGCATGAGGGGCCTGGGAATGGTACACCAGCAATGGCTTAATCTTCAGATAGGAGCTTGCGTTCACACACAGCAAAAGGGTCAATCTGTCCTTCGTGGCCTTTGCAACATTTTGAGCATCACTTTATTTACACGGGAAGTCAGTGCCAGGGTCCTATGGTTGCTCCACTCTTTTGCATCTCCTTTTTAGGGATTTCAGTGTGTATGAACATTTCTAGTTTGTGGCCAGTGTTTTGTTTTCAATATTTGTTGGCATTTTCTTGTTTGGATTTGGACTGATTCAGTTTTGGAAGCTTGGATTAGTTTCAGTGTTACTTGCTCTTCTCTGGGTGTTTATTCTTTCCTTTGAAGTGCTTTCAGAGCAGCTTTCACGTCACTTTCTAATATAGTAGGCTCTTCTTCATAAGCTACTTCTTCAAAGGAGTCTGTCATCCTTTCACCTCTTCTGTATAGTTTTCCTGAAAATTCTTTTCACCTTCTCTTTACTTTTTCCTGATTGGACGGTATCTTCCATCTTAACCTTTCAGCACTCCTAACATATTTGAATTTCTCTTTGAGTTCCTGGATCAACAGGAAGTGGTTTCTTGTTCTCTCTCTTCTCTCCCTGCTCCCCTTTTTTGCACTTTTTCCTCTTTCTTTGCACTGCTCATTGTAATATTTCTTTTTGTTTCTGCATGATAGTTACTGAAAAGTTGCATTCAGGATTCTTTTTATGTCAGCTTTTGTTTCTGTTTCTCACCTGTCCTTAGCAACTCTGAGTGTTTCTTCAGTCATCCATCTAGGCTTTTTCTTTCTTT